CTGGCGCGTCCCGCTCCGCGCAGGATGGGCCGCGGCCGCCCGGGCCTCCCCCGTCCCGCCGCCGTGAGTGACCCCGGCCGGGCGCCGCTGCCCCTGCGCGCGGGGGACCCGGTCCTGGGCTGGCTTCGGGACACGAGGGGAGGCGGAGGCGGGGGAGAGGCTGGGATGCGAACGGGGTTGGGCGGCGCCGGCGGGAGCTGCCCTGCCCTTCCCTCTCCCCGGCGCTGCCTGGCCCCGCCGGCCCGCTCCGGTGGGGCCGGGCGCTTCTCGGCCCGCGGTGCCGGTCGGGAGCACCGGGGCCTTGCGGCAGCGCTGTGTCCTTGTCCCGGCAGGTCCAGGGTACCGGCGGCAGCAGCGCCGTTAGCAAGAGCTCGGCGGCGGCGCGGGGCTACATCCAGGACCGGTTCCTGCGGCTGCTGGCGGGGCGGCGGCGGCGGCGAGCCCCTCTCATCCACCGGTGAGGAGCGGGCGCCCCGGGGGCGGCAGAGGGGCCCGGTCCGGGCCACGGGGGTGTCGCTGCTGCTTGCGGCACGGCAGGTCTGAAGGCGTTGTAGGGAGGGGACGTGTAGGGACAGTGGCACCTCGCAGAGCTCGCTCTCTCGGTAATGTCACCTTTTAGGCTGTTGGTGCAATTTCACGAGGCTTATGGGCAAAAACTGAAAGCTTTTCCTGAGTAAAATATGTCACCAGACCGGTTCCCGACTCCAGGATTCAATGCTGCTGAAAACTACTTCAGATGAGATTTGAAACTAACGCACTAAAAATGTTAGCCCATCAGTGGTTTTCTCATTAATTCTCAAGAACAATATCAGTAAGGTACTTGGTGGCTCAGGGAAACAGTATTATCTTTGGAATTGGTGGTCACTGACCAGTAGGTCTTCTCTGGAGCTTTACAGGACACACACATAATGTTTGTGTGTGGAGGGTTCTGTGCTGGCACGGTGGTGGAGTTTGCACAGTGTGAGGCAGTTAGCTTAATGGAAAGTGACTGAATTGCCAAAGGAGTTTTCTTTGGGGAAGCCCAAAGCAGCATTCGAGCAGAAGCTTGCAGGCCCGTGGAGACAAGTGTTGCTTGTCAGGGCAGGAAGCTGAGCCTGTGCTGACTCCTCACGTGACAGTGCTGTGCTAAACTAAATTCATAGAAAGAGTTAGGTATTGCACTTGTCAACACTGTCACCGTGAATTTGGGGACCTCTTAGAGTATCTGGTGAAAACCTTAGTCCCTGTGAGGCACAGGGGTGCTAACATGCTGTTAAAGGGGGTGGTAGAACTGGTAAGCCTGGTGGGGACACAGTGTCACTAACAGAGAATGCCACAGCAAAAGAGGCACCAGTCCCTGCCGGACCGTGCAAATGGTAGACGCTTCCCAGGAGTTAGACTTAGTTCCCTTCATTCAAAAGACAAGGAATGAAATTCCTTTCCTGACTTTGCTTCTCTGGCCATTTTCATTCCCCTCTCACTGCATTTGCCCACACCAATGTTAATTTTGTTATTCCTAAAGCTCCTTGTAAGTAAAGGAGTTAATTTCACATTGTTTTGGCATGTGGTTTGAGGCAGGAACTCGGGTACTGGCCACTCACGTTGTAGGGGCATATCCTGACTGTCTGGATCTGTACTTTTTCATCCAGTGAATATTTATTTATGCAAAGTGGAACAGCTGGAATATCTACACAGTTTTCTGGGTTGTCCGTAGTTTTGTTGGTTAATACACTTACTGCATACAGGAGATCTGTATTTATTAGCAAGCTGTAGATATGACAAAATCATCAGATATCTCCCAATGCAGGTCTGTACATATGGGTAGAAGCTGATAGAGAAAAAGTAATTTTTTTAAAGTGGAGGATGCCAGTGCTGGAGAAGTAGGGCTCCCGGACAGTGGTTACAACTGTATTTCATTCCCCAGGGGCTATTACATCCGCGCCCGTGCTGTAGATCACTGTGTTCGAGACTTCCTGCTGAAGACCCAAGGCCACCCAAGGACACAGGTGCATTTTCTCTCTCGGGGGGTACTGGCAGTTTCCACCTCACATGTGAAAAGTCTTCTTGGCTCTGCGGTAGCTTCTTAGTGCCTCTGTTGTGATCCTTTCCCAGAGGAGTACAGAGAACCTGGCTGGAAATTTGTTGTCTTGACAGAAATATCTGGGAAGGGGCAATACCTACACAAAATTCTTCTACCTCTTGCAGAAGATTGCCTGATTTTTGTCACTCTACAGATGATGTTATTGAATATTTTTCACACCTAGATGCGCAGGATGCTTCTAGATTTGAGTATAACTTTTTTTTTTTCTGATACTTTCTCTGCAGATCGTGTCCTTAGGCGCTGGCTTTGACTCCTTATACTTCCGTTTGAAGGACATAGGTCTTCTGTATCACACTGTGGTATATGAGGTGGATTTCCCAAATGTGGCATGCCAAAAAGCTGCTCTCATCAAAAGAACGAAGGAGTTGTCAGCACTGGTGGGGGATACTGGAGGGGAAGGATTAGGTAAGATATTTAGGGAAGGTTTTCTAGGTACTAAATGTTGAGAAGAAGCAAACACAACTTCAGCCTTTAAAAAGCGATGTGTGATGGTAGAGGAACTATGCAGTTGTAGATAAAAAGCATGCTCGTTTTCTGAAAGATTTTGGAAGGAATAAATAATTTGTAAGCATTGGGAGATAACAAGAAGATGTATAGCTGCCAGAGCAGACTTGTCAGGAGAAGATTATATCAAATCAAGTTTGGTTTCTTTCTCTTACAGTTTCTGAAGCCCTGTGTCCAGCTTTGGGCTCAGTAGCACAGAGGCAGTGACAAACTGCTGCATGTCCAGTGAGAGGCCCCGAGAAGGATAAAGGGGTGGAGCACACAAAATGGGAGGGGAGGCTGAGAGACCTGGGTTTGTTCAGCCTTAACAGGAGGAGGTTGGGAGGGAGGGAGGTGGCTCTTACTGCAGTCTTCAACTGCGTGATGGGAGAGCGTAGAAAAGGTGGAGCCAGACTTTTCTTAGAGGCACCAAGCGAACAGTTGAGGCGCAATGGTTGCGAGTTGCAACAAAGGCAATTTCAGTTATGTATAATGAAAATGTTTGGTGGGGTTTTTTTATTTTTTTTTCTTGCCCTATGAGTAGTTAAAAATGAGAATAGATGGCTCAGAAAGGTTGTGGAATCTCCAGCCTTGGTGACACAGCTTGGCTGGAGAAAGCCTTGAGCAACCTGATACAGGTAACTCTGCTGTGAGCAAGGAGTTGGACTAGATGATGTTCAAAGGCCCTTTCCAACTTAAGTCATACTGTCATTTATGGACATCATGGGTAGGAGAGAAGGTATGACTCTTAGGTGTCTTGAGTGATAAAATATTAGTCATTATGTTACCTGACTGTTTTTTTTCCCCCTCTCCATGACAGGAAATAATGAGCCTTATGAAACTACTATAGAATATAAGTGGAGCTGAAGGGATTATTATGCCAGCTAAGTACTAAGGGGCAGTTCAGTGGCAAAATCATAGAATCACAGAATTGTTTGGGTGGGAAGGGAACTTAAAGTCCCCGCAGTCCCACCCCCTGCCCTGGGCAGGGACACCTCCCACCAGAGCAGGTTGCTCCAAGCCCCCTCCAACCTGGCCTTGAACCCATCCAGGGATGGGGCAACCTGGGCCAGCCTCTCACCACCCTCACACCAAACAAGTTCTTCCCCACATCTCATCTCCGTCTCCCCTCTTTCAGTGTCAAACCCTTCCCCCTCCTCCTAGGGCTCCCCTCCCTCATCAAGAGTCCCTCCCCAGCTTTCCTAGAGCCCTTTTAGGGACTGGAAGGAAGCACATGAATGGTCTGCAAAATGTGGAATGAGATACAGTAGGGACATGTGTAAGCCACTACTTTTAGACTGTAATAATCAATTTAAATACAGATGGAAGACAGCTACAGAGCAAGGTGCCTGGCTTCTGTGAGCTGTCCTACTGACTAGGACTACTGTCCTAGTCAGTAGTCCCCAGAGGAGGGCAACGAAGCTGGTGAGGGGTCTGGAGCACAAGTCTTGTGAGGAGCAGCTGAGGGAGCTGGGGGTGTTCAGCCTGGAGAAAAGGAGGCTGAGGGGAGACCTTCTCGCTCTCTGCAACTCCCTGAAAGGAGGGTGTAGCCAGGGAGGGCCGCTCTCTTCTCCCAAGGAGCAGGCCATGGGACAAGAGGAAACAGCCACAAGTTACGCCAGGGGAGGTTTAGTATGGGTATTGGGAACAATTTCTTCCTGGAAAGCGTTGTGAAGCCTTGGCAAAGGCTGCTCAGGACAGTGGTGGAGTGTAGATGTGGTGCTGAGGGACATGGGTTAGTGATAACTTGGCAGTGCTGGGTTAACAGTTGGACTTGATGATGTTAAAGGTCTCTTCCAACCATAATGATTCTATGATTGCCTCAGCACTGTTGTGAGATTGTATAATTTTTGTCTCCCAGGAGTCATTACCTTTTCTGGAGAGGATTATAAATTATTGGGAGTGGATTTATCAGATCTGTCTGAGCTGGACAGAGCGCTGGAGAAAGCAGGACTGGATAAGGACATCCCCACCCTCTTCATAGCAGAGGTGGTGCTCACCTACATGGAAAATAGCAGGTCAGTGGATTCGTTCTCTGTTAGCTGGGTGGTGTAATGAAAAGAGCAACCTTCTTTGCATGGATGTCACCCGGGGCTGGGAGACCTGCTGTCTTGTAACTACAGCCTCAGGAATTCTGTGTAAGTCCCAAAGAGGTCCTTACATCATAATCTTGATGGGATAATTGACATCCACATGACATCCTAAAAGGGAGGGGAAAAAAAGAAGAAAAACCTTGAATGAGTGATTTTTGAGTTTTTTGTTGATTCCCCTGAATTCTCTGCACACATGGGGGAGGAGATGTTCATAAGTCCCCAGCAGAGTGTTCTTGTTTGTGTATTTCCTCTGTCAGGAGGCCTTAGTGGCACGCTTTACGGTGCTGCAGGGAGATATATTGCCTCTGCCATTTGGTAGATGGGCCCTCAGTTATTTAATTTCTTACGCCCAATCTGCCTGACAGGTCGGATGCCGTGATTTGGTGGGCAGCAGAGCGTTTCTCTCGCGTGTGCTTTCTGCTGTACGAGCAGATGCACCCAGAGGACCCCTTCGGACGTGTCATGCAGCAGCATTTTAGCCAGATGAACTCCACACTGAATTCTTTGGCACAGTACCCAGACTGTGAGGCACAGCAGAGGCGCTTTTTTGAAAAGGTAAATACCTGCAGCTCTAGGGCACACATGAAGCATAATTGACCTGGGAAAGATGGTAACATTAACTAATTTTGGAAGTCATCAGCTGTGTCAGTTATGGGTGGAAGGAAACAGGGCCAAGGCTGGGATGCTGCCTTTCTCTAGTAGCATGATTAGTCACTCGAAGGTCCTTCCACCCAACTTGCAGCCTACTTTCTGATAAGGGATTAAGGCAAGATGGGTTCCTTTGAAATTTTTGATGTAATAAATTAAGTTATTGAGAGCTTTGCAGGTAAGAGACTTATCCTCACCAGATTCTGGGCTGCTGCTGTTCCAGCTAGATGGTCTTAAAGGCAGGCGTTTAATTTAGGATCTTTGTTTTCTAGTGGGAAGTGAGTCTCTATCCTTCCAGAGGTAATAGTTTTGAGGGATTTCTATTTTAGGGCTGGACTGAGTGCAGTGTCATGGATATGAATGAGTTCTTCACATGTTGTACTCCAGAAGATGAGCAGAAAAGAGTGCAAGCTCTGGAGCCTTTTGATGAATATGAGGTGAGCCTCCTTTATTCTGAGCACTGGGGACTTGCTTTGATATGATAAGGGGTCTGCAGTTTCTTGTGGTCACAGTTCTGTACATGAACTGCTGAGGCACAGCTGCCCAGGGAGGCAGACAGGATCTTGAATCGGGCTTCATTAATGCAGAGCCCAGAGGAAGCTCCATGGGAGGTATCATCAGAAGAAAACTCTTCAGTGTTAGAAAAAGCTTCTTGTTCCTTTCTCAGTGAGTAGTCTCTCAGGGAGACAGTCTTGGCACAGCAAACTAGCTGGAGGCGTAAAAGGTGTTGTGGATGCTAAAAGTTTGCATGGGTCTAAGGGCGGAGTCTTTTAACAAAAGAGAAGTCTATTGAGAATTGCTGAATATGTAAAAATACACTTGATGTGAGATTCCTGACTGCAGATGGTTGGGAGCATTCCTGGGGGCAGTAGATGCACTTGTCCTGCTCTCTTGCATTTCTGTAGTCTATTACCATTTGTCATTGCTGGGTACAGGTTTTTAGTTTCAGGTACTTTTTGGTCTGACTTTGTACAGCCGTTCCTATATTAACGATTGAAATTTAACTATGATGGTATTCTGTGCTGTTTTTATGTTAACTGCTGGCAAAGTTTGCAGCTATGTAAAGTCTAGAAGAGAAGTCAAAGATACTGAGTCATTTTGAGATAAAGGGTACTTACTAGAAGTTTCCCTTTGGATTTTGTGGTTCTCTGTTTATATTTCTCTCTAGAAATGGAGCATGCTGCAGTTTGAAAACAATGGGCTTGCATTTATGTTGCCAATGTGCAGGATCTGCTCTGCTACATGGATGCAAAAGTGATGACTCAAAGGTGCTGCTGGGTTTGAAAAATGGGGTAGAAATGCTTCTGAGAATTATTGTAGATCAGGGCAGTTGCTCCTACAGGGAGAAAGTAAAGACTTTTTATCGTTGCCCTTACAGAGGAGGTTAACATGCACAAGTCCAAGCAGAAAAACGTGCATAGGAGTAGGCTGATACCAGATAACTCTACAATTAGCCTTTGAGAGAAAGTAAGATCCAGGTCTTACTGGAAACAAGCTTGACCCACAAACAGTGGATACTTCCATTTTCATTATTTATATTAATTTTTGGATATCACTTTTCAAAAGATGCTTTTTACTTCTGGTAGAAGTTGGGCCGATGATGCTAATATTGTGGTTTTTTGGGCCTTTTACATTCATGTTTATTCCTTCTAGCCACGCAGTTGGCTGAATGTATCCCACCCTATGGGAATTAACATAATTAATTCCCTCGTGTCCATAAAAGCCAGAGGTACTGTCCCGTACAGTCCTCCTGCTTGGGCTTCTGCCTCTGAGTGATTCCAAGGCCAGGATGGAAATCATATTTGTGTATTATCGACCAGCAGAGCCCAAGTGGCACCTTTGAATTTTTGTGATTTCTTTGGGACCATTTACAGAAATGACGTTTAAGAAACCTTAATCCCTCCAGTATACACCCCTTGCTCTTGCCTAGGATCAGAACTGGGAAGCAGAAAGGGAAGTTGATTCCAAAAAGAAAAAAAGGAAAAAAAAAAAAAGTTCCTCATGCAATGTATAATTAAGCTACAGAACTCCTTGTCACAGCGTGTTACAGACAATAACAGTTTATGTGAGTTCAAAGATCAACTGGATAGGTTTATGGATGAGAAATCCATCAGGGATTGTTCGATACAGCTTCTTGCTTAGAAAATCCCTGAGCTGTAAATTTTTGCAGGTTGGGATGAAGAAGGTATTTACACACTTGCTCTTTCTCAGATTCAACTTTAGTCTTCTGATTTTGGCTGCTGTTGGAGACAGTGCTAGGTTCGGCTGGTCTTTGATTTGATCACCTGGCCATTCTGAGATCCTTATGGCTGCCTTCTCTAAGATTTTGAGGGCAATTGTTTGTTTTTGGTTTTTCCTCTGGGCTTGCTGCAGGAATGGCATCTGAAATGTTCTCATTACTTTGTCCTGACTGCATCAAAGGGAATGGAACCTTCCTGGACTCCATTGTTACCCAATATGACAGGTACATACTGACTAGTTCTCATAGAATTCCTTTATCCCATGCAGGCTTCTCAGAGACTTCAGGAGACAGTAAAACCCTGGAAGGAGCAGATGGGATGCTGCCATCTGAGTAGCTTTCTTCATCCTTCTAACAGTGGTTCTGCTGTCCATAGTGTGGCCAGGGCTACGTCCTGACTCTGCTGGGTCTGGTCAGTCTCATTCTTTCAGTTTATTGAGCCTTCCAGCCTGAGCAGCTCTTCCTTCTGGTGACACTGGGGACTGTCCGGTGCACAGCTGTAATGCCAGTCCACCCTGCTGCTGCTCCTGTTTGGGGATCCTACAGACTCTCCTTTTTGAATTTATTCCTGCTTCCCTCCACGTGTGTCTCTCTAAGCCATTCTATCCTTCCAGCTCCTGAAAGCTTATGTTTTACTTCTGCACTATCAAAATGTGGCACTTCAGGGCATGCTCTAGTGGCCGAGATTGTGGGGGTCTTTTGTGTGTGTATGATTGCACTCGGTGATCTCAGAGGTCCTTTCCAACCATGAAGATTCTGTGATTCTGTGAAAGAACTGCTCAGCAGAGCACTCAGAAGCGTGGCACAAAGTTTGTGCTTTGTTTTCTTATCCCCTGTGTGTGGAATTGTACGTGCAGTATTTTTGTTTCTGAAATGCTTTTAAATCTGTATGTGGCCTTTTTTAGATGAGTGAATATTCTCTTATAATAGGACCATTGAAATTAACAGAGATTATTCATCATGCTTTAGAACTTTATTTCAATGCTTTTGTGAAAGTAGAAAATCCAGAAAGGAACTTTGAAATCCAACTTCCAGGTGTTCATCCTTTTTCTGTTCTTTGCTATTTAAGTAGCCAAATATTGTCTTCATCAGAAGAGTACTCCTTTTCACAGAATCATAGAATGGTCTGGGCCAGAAGGGACCTCCAAAGGCCATCTAGTCCGACCTTCCCATAGTCAGCAGGGACACCCCCAACTAGACCAGGTTGCCCAGGGCCTCGTTGAGCCTCACCTTGAATGTGAGGGAACACAAGGAAGGGGCCTCAACTACCTCCCTGGGCAACCTGTTCCAGTGCTCCACCACCCTCATAGTAAAGAACTTTCTCCTAATATCCAATCTAAATCTGCTCTTCTCCAGCTTAAAGCCCTTGTCCCTCGTCCTGTCACTGCAGGCCTTTGGAAACAGACTCTCCCCGGCCTTCCTGTAGCTCCCCTCAGGTACTGGAAGGCCGCTATAAGGTCTCCTCGGAGCCTCCTCTTCTCCAGGCTGAACAACCCCAGCTCCCTCAGCCTGTCAAAGGTGTTGCAGTGATTCCTGTCTTGCTACAGCAGTTTGAGATGCTGCAGTCTCTTGGCCAGTCTTGCCCCCACCCCGTCAGAGCGGTCTCGGAGCTGTGTCAGGAGCTGGGCAGCAAGGAGCAGAAGCTGGAAGTTGTTGGCACAGTGGTATTTTAAGCCACTACAGCTTGATTTCTAGGGCACGTCAGATTGTCTGTGTGCTCTGGCAACCTGCTTCCAAATTTTTTCTTCTTGAAAAGCTGAACAGACTTGCTTAATCTCTCATTTAAAATGTAGTCCTTGGTTCTTGTTTGTGCAGAAGTTCTTTGGTTCTCTTTGGCTTGCAGTTCCTCGTCGTGATGGTCCTGTCGGGACGGGTGGGAGCATCCCTGCAGCAGTGTGTCCAGTGCACGCTGGAATCTCTGGCCTGAGACGTTATGGTCACCACTCTGTTCTTATAAAACCCAATGTGATTCTCACCACTGGAGGCTTTGGGGAGGAGGATGGACATCACTGCCGTATGAGGAATTTTCATGTGCTGATTAAGCATGCAGGCTGCTGGAAAGCTGGCTGTGTGAGAAAGGAAAGCCCTGATAAAAGATGGGGTGAGTTCCCATACTGATGGCAAGTTTCAGGAAGACGTTTCTGTACTAACAACAAAATAATGTCTCATGGAAAAGTGATGTCACAATGCAATTGTGCTGGCAGTCAAAGAGATCTGAAGGTTCTGAGTAACAAGTGCTGGGTCCTTAGGAAGAATTACTTTACTGAAAGAGTGGTCAGGCACTGGAACAGCCTGCCCAGGGAGATGGTGGAGTCACCAGCCCTGGAGGTATTTAAGAAATGTGTAGATGTGGCACTTCAGGGCACGCTGTAGTAGCCGAGATTGTGGGGGTCTTTCGTGTGTGTATGGTTGGACTCGGTGATCTCAGAGGTCCTTTCCAACCATGAAGATTCTGTGATTCTGCCCTTGGGTCACACCAACCCCATGGATGCTCAGGGCTGGGGGAAGAGTGGCTGTAGCTGCCCCATGGGAAATGGCCTGGGGGTGTTGGTCGACAGGGGCTGAATATGAGTCAGCAGTGTGGCCAAGGAGGCCACCAGCATCCTGGTCTGTGTCAGGAACAGTGTGGCCAGCAGGACTGGGGCAGTGACCATCCCCCTGGACTGGGCACTGGGGAGGCCCCACCTTGAGGGCTGGGTCCAGTTTTGGGCCCTTCCCAACAGGAAAGACCTTGTGGGGCTAGAGCGTGTCCAGAGAAGGGCAACAATGCTGGTGAGGGGTCTGGAGCACAAGGAGAAGGGTCTGGAGAACCTCTGAGGGAGCTGGGGGTCTTCAGCCTGGAGAACAGGAGGAGACCACCTTGCTCTCTCCAACTCCCTGAAGGGAGGCTGTAGCCAGGTGGGGTCAGTCTCTTCTCCCGAGGAACAGGCCATGGAACAAGAGGAAATGGCCTCAAGTTGCCCCAGGGGAGGTTGAGGATGGAGCTTGGGAACAGTTTCTTCCTGGAAAGGGTTGAGAAGCCTTGGCAGAGCCGCCATCCCTGGAGGGATTTCAAAGCCGGGCAGAGGTGGTGCTGAGGGACATGGGTCAGTGGTGTTTTTTGTCAGTGCTGGGTTAACAGTTGGGCTCGATCTTAAGGGTTTTTTCCAACCTAAATGATTCTATGAATGTATAATTTTCATGGGAGGGAGGTCAGTGTGAACCGTGATGTTTTGTGTCTTTACAGATGAGCGGTTGTACCACACTGTGTCCTGTGTCTCCAACGGTCTGGCCCTGGTGGTAGGAGGACGAACATCCCCATCAAGCCCAGGCTTGGGAATGTCGTGGCTCAAGTTCCCCGAGACCTGTGATGCCTTGGAGCCAGAGGATGTTACTGTGGAGCTTGTAAGTGTGCAGCCTGCTGCTGAGCCAGCTGCTTTGCGCTGGAGACACAGCACAACTGAAGTCACATTCAAAGGTAAAAAGCCTGGAAAGAGCAAAAATGGCTGTAGGTATGTGGGGGTATGTACAAATTCCAGAATATATGGGGCAGTCCTCTCCAGACAGTGAGGTCTAAAAGGCAAATTGTCATGATGTAGCCTTACTTTATATGTAGTACAGACTATTTTGGAAAGAATATGATACTGTTAGATTAATGACCACTTTAGAGAATCCAATTACATTTCATTAAGATTTTGTTCTAGTGGTGGAGTTTTTTTTCCCCCCAAGTTTAAACTTTGTTAATGTATTTTTGTTATCGTATCTACCCAGTTCTTGTGCCTTTTTTGTTTGACAAGTCCAAAAGTACTTGTGAGAGGCTTTACAAAATCTTTACAAAAGGGAAAGACTGAGCAATCTCAGCTGAGTTTCCTGAACCGAGCAACTGACTTGGTTTATCCAACCGCAGGACTTCAGTTCTCTGTGCTATTAGTACATGGTCGATTCATTACAGAACCTGTACAAGGGGTACCTTGGGATAATGGCTTCTATTATCTATGAGGATTTATCTTTTCCTGGGATAAATAGATGTTATTGTGTTGCCATGATTTATGTACTTACCGTTTTCTAATTTTATTAGTTCTACAGGTGTAATCTTTCTGTTGCTTAAATTTTCATTCCTTCAGTCCATTAGGTATTTTAAAAAACACGTTTTGTTTTGGTTTTAAGACTGTAGTGTGTGATTTCCATTCAGACCCTAAACATTCAGAAACTACATAAATAAGTGGGTGATGGGGGCCTTCTGAATGACCACAAACGTGAAGAAACATTTTCTTAGTAAAAATATTGTTTACCATGTGTCTTATAAAAGACCTAGATACAGGCGTTAATTCCTTTATCTAAGAAGCAATTTCTTGCATTTATTGCTGAAATGTTCGTCAGGTTGTAGGGTGTTGTAATACCTAGTGTATAAAACTCCTGCCTGACTGCATTAATTTCTGTCCTTGGTCAGCTTCCCTTCTGTGCAAAGAGAAATCTTTGGTTTTGTGACATACCAAATTCTAACTTCTCTTTCCATCTGGTTGTCCTTTTCCACAGGGGAGAACTACCTGTTCCTGTATGGCGGCCGCTCTGCTGCAGAGCCTGTGCTTGGGGATTGGTGTTTCCTGCACACTCGGCATCTTTCCTGTACTGAGGTAAGAACTTAGGGAGGCACTGGGGAATAGAAGTTGCCTTCACTTCCTCGTTGTGTGCTGCTGTATTGGGAGCCCAAATAGTTGCATCTGGGAGGTGCCCAGGTCCTGTCACCTGTGGTGGTCTTGTCCCAATTGTCTGGCACTGAGACTTCCACTCCTTCCCCAGGCCCAGCCCTGCTCACATCCCCCAGAATCAGAATCACAGAATCTTCTAGGTTGGAAGGGTCCTCAAAGACCATCTTGTCCAACCGTCAACCTAACTGACAAAAATAGACACCCGCACAACAAACAAGAAGCATCACCATCACTAAACCATACCTCCCAGCACTACATCAACCCGTCTTTTGAACACCTCCAGGGATGGTGCCTCAACCACCTCCCTGGGCAGCCCATTCCAATGGCTGATAAATCTTTCAGTGAAAAAATTTTTCCTAATATCCAGCCTGAACCTCCCCTGGCGTAACTTGAGGCCGTTTCCTCTCGTCCTGTCGCCTGTGACTTGGGAGAAGAGACCGACCCCCATCTCTCTACACCCTCCTTTCAGGTAGTTGTAGAGAGCAAAAAGGTCTCCCCTCAGCCTCCTCTTCTCCAGGCTGAAGAACCCCAGCTCCCTCAGCCTCTTCTCATAAGACTTGTGCTCCAGACCCCTCGCCACCTTTGTCGCCCTTCTCTGGACCCGCTCCAGCACCTCAATGTTTTTTTATGGTAGTGAGCCCAAAACTGGACACAGTACTCGAGGTGGGGCCTCACAAGTGCCCAGTACAGGGGGATGATCACCTCTTGGGCCCTACTCGCCACGCTGTTCCTGACACAGGCCAGGATGCTGTTGGCTTTCTTGGCCACCTGGGCACACTGCTGGCGCAGTCTAACTCCAGCTCATGTTCCCAAATTCACTCACGCTGCCCCCCTCACCAGTAGACGGCACCCTGCAGACAAAGTGTTTGAGAGCCATGAAGATGTTCCCAAGCTCGGTGGCCCCTCCAGCTCCTGATGGACCCTCACTTGCTCCAGTGGCTGGCAGAAAAGGCCCAGGAACACTCCCCCCAGCTCTGACCCCCTTTGCGACTCCATCTTCACTGATGCTCATCTCTGTAGGGGACAGGATGCAGCACAGTCCTCTCAAGGTGTGCGGTGGGAACAGCCAGAGCACACACCTTCCAGGGGAAGGTTTTGAAGGACTTGCAGCTATTGAATCTGGAGAAGATTCAAGATAGCAATAAATCTCCAAATATGTAAAATATAGTTGCAGAGAGGAGAAATGAGTTGTTATCCATTTTTACTTTGAGTAGTAGAAGGAATCTGTAGAAAGGGTGACTTCCACTGGACACTAAGAAAAGCTATTAATCTTTGTCGTGGTTTTGGCCAGAGTGACCAATCAGAACGAGAGGTACCCCCTCCCTCCCCCTCTAAGGGAAAGAGAGGAGAGGAAGAGATAAAAGAGATTTATGAGTTTAGAAAAAAACTAAACTACTTTAATGAAAATACTAATAAATAATGAAATAATAAATAATAATAAGGAATATAAAAGAAAAAATGTATACAGTTTATACAAAACTGTCTCAAGCTCCCAGGATGACGATGACATCACCAGCAGGCACAGAGAAGAGTCCCAGGCTGGACTGGTGATGGACAGGAGCTGGATTCTGGATCTGGAGTCAGGAATGCCCAGATTGGGATCAAAGGCAGAGGAAGAGACAGGGTCCTCCTCGGACATCTGCCATTGAAGAAAGAGAGTTGACCCTTTGATCCCTCAGCTTTTCTACTGAGCATGGGGCAGATGGGATGGAAGACCCAGTTGGTCAGTTTGGGGCCACCTCTCCTGTTCCCTGCTCCCCACAGGTGGGCCCCCTCTATGCTTTTCTGTTTCTGACCCTCCAATGGGGCAAATAACAAAGTTGGCTGACCTTGGTCATTACAGCAATAAGTGTAAGCAAGGGCCTCTCTGCTCACACCATTCCTTGGCATGTAGCACAGACATTAGTCTGATCACTCTGAGAATGAGCAGTTTTCTTCACAATATGCCATTAATTTCAGAGCATTAGAAGAGACCTGGCTAAGACGTAAAATCACTGAACAGAAAATTGGTTCTGTTTTACTTCAATCCAGGACAATCTTGAAGATAGTGAAGTGCTGAATAGAGTGCCTGAAGAGGGGAGGAATTCTTGTCACTGCAGACTTTCTGGAACTATTAGCTAGTAATCTCTCCAGGTGACAATAAAGATAGTTGAATTTGCTTTAGGAGAAAGGGATGGACCAGGTGACCCCCGAAATTTTCTCCGCAGGTTTGTAAACTTGTGGTTCTCAGGTGCATGTCTTGCATGCAGGAATGCAATGAAGTTACCTCTCATAAATGTGCAGGTGTGAACAACATTAAATGTACTGAGGGCCAGAGAAACGATGTAGGTCCACAGTGAATGGAAACACTTCTGCTTAGCCATCCCTAGAGGAATGTGGGTAGGTTAGGGTTTTTTTGATTGTTCCCTATAGTGCTTACTCCGTTCCCCTCCAGCAACAGTAGCAGGAAAGAATGTCACCTCCCATGGGGGCATGCAACAGGAAGAGATCATTTAAGACCCTGGACATGAAGAAGGCACTTGGCTTGGCAAACTTCAGCCTTGGACTTGTGTTTTCCTAGATTCCTGTTGAGGGTCCAGGACCAGAAAGCCGTCACTCTCACAGTGCCTGTAGCTGGAAAGGAGGAGCACTAATTGCAGGAGGTCTGGGAGCAGCTGAGCAGCCCTTGGGTTCAGTTTTCTTTCTGAGGGAGCTTGAAGGTGGCTTTCAGTGGCAGACAGTAGAGACACATCCTCCTCTGATCCCAAGGTAGGTTGAAGGCCTTCAGCAGTGAATCTTTGGCCTGTCTCTACTTCCCTCTTACTAATGGAGTTCAACCTCATTTGAAACCTGCAGGTATTCACATACTGCACATGTGCATGACGGAAAACTTCTGCTTGTTGGTGGGGTGTGGTTGCACTCTTCTGTGCCAGGCATCACCGTCGTTGACTTAATAACTGGTCTCTGCGTGGACTATACCATTAATGTGGTAAGCACTGACATTTTTCTTTCAAGGTGGACAGTGTTGTGTGAAGGAAGGTGGTAACTTCAGATCTGTTTCCTGAAACAGAGTGAGGAATGCAGAATAGGCAAATTTGTGAGTGGAATAAACATTCCCTGATGGAGGTAGAACCTAATTCTGAAGTGCTTTTGCCAGCTCAGAGAACATCATAGTGTTCAGAGAGGGAGAGTCTGAGTGTGCAGGAGACCAGAGGGCACAGAGCTGCTCTGTTCCAGACATGGGGGGCACAACACAGCTTGGGCCCAAGCAGAGTAATTTCAGGATGTCTGTGGAAGAAGAGAACAAATCAAACCAGAGCCTCAGTTAGTCTTTATGGAGGTCTGTGGTATAATTTCACTAGAAACTTCATGGGAGAAATTGCTGTGTACTTTAGTTGCTGCCTGAAGTTCGAGAAGAAAACAGCACGGAAATACTGGAAACTCCACTTAAACACAAGCAAACGTTTGACTGTAACAGTGATTGACCACTGAAGAGGTTGCACAGAGAGGCTGTGGTGTCTCTGTCACTGGGCATACCCAAAACCTGACAGAGGAAGGTCCTGAGCACCCTGCTGTAGCTGAGCCTGCTCTAACAGGGGTGGTTGGACGAGGAGGTACTCGGAGGTCCCTTCCAACCACAACCCTTCTGTGATTGTAGTCTGTGATTCAGTACAGAACAATCATACAGGGGATGTCACAGCTGGATACTCTGGGCAAAAGTTAGCCTAAGTCTGTGAGTAGCCCTCACCTGTGATAATACTGCTTGGAGTACAAGAAAGACATGGAGCTGTTGGAGTGGGGCCGCAGGAGGCCACAGAGATGCTGGGAGGGCTGGAGCCCCTCTGCTGAGAGGGGGCGCTGAGAGAGTTGGGGGTTTCAGCCTGGAGAAGAGAAGGCTCCGGGGAGACCTTGGAGCCCCTTCCAGTCCCTCAAGGCAGGGGCTCCAGGAAAGGTGGGGAGGGACTCTTGGTGAGGGAGGGGAGCCCTAGGAAGAGGGGGAAGGGTTTGGCACTGAAAGAGGGAAGATTTAGACTAGATATTGGGAGGAAGTTCTTTGGTGTGAGAGCCTGGCCCAGGTTGCCCTGAGCAGCTGTGGCTGCCCCATCCCGGTTGGAGGGGGCTTGGAGCAACCTGCTCTGGTGGGAGGTGTCCCTGCCCAGGGCAGGGGGTGGCTTTAAGGTCCCTTCGAACCCAAACCGCTTTGTGATTCTATGAGAAAGCTTCTGTTCCTTTTTATTTATCTTAAATGTGTTTCTTTATGTAAAATAATTTGGTTTTTATTATGGGAAGTATGGGTGCCTCTGGCTGACCTTGCAGCATTTTCCTGAGGGCATAAAGCATGAAGTATGCTTAAATGTAGTTTTGTTTTTTCTTACTCTCTTTAGGAGAAGTTATAAGTGGCATAGTATCCTTTACATAAAATAGGCTACTCTACTCTTGTTGGATAGCAGTGGGGATGCGTACAGTTATAGTAAAGTTGTATCTAAAAGAAGAGAACTTCTTTGTTTACATTGAGTAAGTGGCTGCAGATGTGTCTGTGTGAATGCCAAAGGCTGACATGGATTCAAAAAGCGACTGGCTGTATTATTGGAAGGAAGCATGTTAAGGTTCCGGGAAGATGAGGACATTCTTTCCCATGAAAAACCAAGGGGAGGGCAGGTTGTTGGGTGGGTGGTGGGTACCAGAGGAGTGTGTCATAGTTTCCTTGTTCCCATGTTCTCCAGCTGTCCATTTTTGCCCACATTCGTGGGTGTTGCAGTGGACTAAATGGCCCTATTTGGGATCCAGTGTGGCTGTTCTTACCTAAGGAAGGGGCAATGGCTTCAAGCTGGAGGGGAACAGATTTAGATTGGAGATCAGGAGGGGGTTCTTTACTGTGAGGGTGGTGGAGCACTGGAACAGGTTGCCCAGGGAGGTGGTTGAGGCCCCTTCCCTGGAGATATTCAAGGAGAGGCTCGACAAGGCCCTGGGCAACCTGGTCTAGTTGGGGGTGTCCCTGCTGACTGCGGGGGGGGCGGACTAGATGGCCTTTGGAGGTCCCTTCCGGCCTGGGCAATTCTATGAGTCTATAAGGTACGATATGAAGTATCTCTGCAGCATTCTATGTGGGTGTTGCAGTCCTGTGTGTTCAAAATTACCTTTTCTTTTTTAGGAGCATCTGGAGTGGCCATTAATGCTACATAACCACAGTAGTGTCTTTCTGCCAAACGAGAAGGAGTTGTTGCTTATTGGTGGTGGTGGGAACTGCTTCTCCTTCGGGACACACCTGAACCCAGAGCCTGTCTCATTGAGCCTCAGCAGTATCCTGGCCAGCCACTGACTGGGACCAAGCAGGACTCAGCCGTGCTGCTGCACCTATTCACTTGTAGGTCCAGGAGCAGCAAAACCTTTCCACAAAGGTTTTGTGTCCAGAATGCTTTTGTAAAGGTGGGCTTAGGAGGGACAGTTATGGCCAGGGGCTGCATACCTCGTCTGCTGCTCCTGTGCCTGCTCTTCTGTCTTTATTGAACAGTGCTTAAACTCTGTTGATTCTGCATCAGCTAACATTTGAACTTTTCTTCTGTGCTTGGGAAGGTGCCTCGGGGAGGAGACTGTGCTTGGAACAGTGTTTGAGCACAACATTCAAACGAGGATGATGTTCTTGAGAAGAGACATATGCTTCTGTCTCTATGTCTTTTATACAGAACGACCAAATTAGTCCAGGGAGGTTTTTGTTTTGAGGGAACCGCCGTGGAAAACTACTAGACAGAGACTCCTTGGAGCATTAACTAGAAAAGGAGAAAGGGAGATCTTTAAAGTCCTACCAAAGCTGGTTGAGGCTGCTGATTTGGATCCAAAAATCAGATCGCCTTTAGAGTCTTCCGTGAGAGGTGTCTCTAACCATGTGAAACGAAGGGGGTGGTGGAATAACCTCCGTGGCTCTTCATGGCTTCTGCTGGCCGTGCCAGGGGCACACAAAGCCCGGTGCGGGGCCTGGAGCGTGCCCAAGGGGCTGGCAGAGGCTGGAGCGGGACCGTCCCTGGGCGCCGCGTCCCGCCGAGCTCCCTCCTCCTGCGCTTGGGAATGGCCGGGTGTCCGGCACCTGGAGGAGCCTGGAGCGGTGCTGGGGCTCGGCGGGGCCACAGCGGGGGAGCGTGTAAATGGCGGGGCTGCAGGTGCCCCCCATTGCCGCGGGGATCCAGCTGCGGGGCCGGGCCGGGAGGCTGATGGCGACGGCCCCGGCGTCCAAAGGAGCGGCTGCCGGTGGAGGGACCGGTGTGAGGCAAAGGAGAGCGGAGCGGTCGCGGGGCTGCGGGTGCACCGACGGGGAGTGCGGGGCCCGTGACGCAGGCGTGGGGCGGGGGGGGCCGGCTTCCTCGCGCGGAATGCCGGGAGGCTTCCGGTCGGCCATATTGTTCCCCGGGAGCACGCTGGGAGCTGTAGTCCGGGGTACAGGGTTTCCGGTCGGCCATACTATTCCCCGGGGCATGCCGGGAGCTATACATTTTGCGGGCGTGCCTACTGTATGGCTGCATTGGTCTCGGGCGGGTGCGGCGCAGAGTGCACGGGACGAGGAGTACTTTTGTTGCCAGTTTCGTGTGGTTTTCTGCGGGCTTCCGCGTCCGGCCGCTGCCCCGCAAGCGCATGCGCGGTGGGGAGCCGCCCGGGGTCCCCGTGGGGGCCGTGCGCGTCGGGCCCCGCGCATGCGCAGTGGGCAGAGCCGCTGCCGCCGCGAGGCGGCCCGAAGGCGGTGCTGCAGCGCTCGCTGCTGCCACCTGCGGAGCGACTGCGGTACTGCAGGTGTTCCACAGGGTCCTAGCGCCGCGCCTCCTCCACAGGCGGGTGGCAGCGGCGGCCCAGGGGGACTCCGGCGGCGGCAGCGGCGGGGTCCCGGTGCCTCCACGGGCGGGGAAGGCTGCCAGGCCCTGCCGCCATGGCCGGGGCGTCCTGCGGGGCGGATCCGGGTAGTGGAACGAGGGAGCTGTGTGGCTTTGGGTTCAGGAGCAGGGGTCGAGTCTGGCGTTTTGGGGACTTGAGGCTCAGCAGCTGGGCTTTGTAAGCACCCCTTACAACACGGGGAGGGGGGGCTGACACAGCGGAAGGCTGTGCTGCCATCCAGCGAGACCTGGACAGGCTGGAGAGTTGGGCAGAGAGGAACCTGGTGAGATTCAACAAAGGGAAGAGTAGGGAGTGGAGGGGCCAGTACTGCCTTGCCCCCGGGTGGCCGCAGAGGGGCCGGCGTTAGGCGAGGGGGAGCAGAGCAGTCGCAGGGCTGGGCAAAGCCCCGAGCAGGGCTGTGATAAATGATTTAGCCTCAAACAG